GGCCCAAAGCCCTCGGCGGGTCAAACCTCTGGGCACCGGGGCCGAACTCCGGGCAGCGCCGGGGAGACACGGGAGCACGGATCCGGGGGGTGCAGGGGGAAATGTGCACATCCATGGATGTACACATGGATGTATGTGTGGATGTATGCATGGATTACACATGGATGTATGCATGGATGTACACGTGGATGTACACGTGGATGCACGCACGGGTGGGAAACCTGGGAGCTTAGTGCTGAAAGTGGCTGCACAGCACTGAGTCAGGTTTTTGGGCAGGGAGTGGGTTCCCAGAAGTGTCTGGCAGGGAACGGGCAGAGGTCGATGGATGGGGTGGACGAAAAAAGAAGGAGCTGAGGCAGGAGCCCAGTGGTCTGGATGGGCGTCTGGGGGAAGGTGACAACTGGTACAAGGAGCTAGAAAGCAGGGGGTGATGAGCCGTTTAGCTGGGCGCTGGAGCTGTCAGGCATTGTGCAACTGCATGGGCAGAGATCATGGTGGCTGCACAGCACTGAGTCAGGTTTTTGGGCAGGGAGTGGGTTCCCAGAAGTGTCTGGCAGGGAACGGGCAGAGGTCGATGGATGGGGTGGACGAAAAAAGAAGGAGCTGAGGCAGGAGCCCAGTGGTCTGGATGGGCGTCTGGGGGAAGGTGACAACTGGTACAAGGAGCTAGAAAGCAGGGGGTGATGAGCCGTTTAGCTGGGCGCTGGAGCTGTCAGGCATTGTGCAACTGCATGGGCAGAGATCATGGCCCCCTCGCCCCTTCCTGGCAGTCAAAGCTGCGTGCACCTCGAGCCGCTGATGCACTCTCAGATGGGTGGCCAGCACTTGCCCCATCCAGGCCGGGGGTGAGCAGGTCCAGCGGTGCTGAGCACTGCCTGGGGCCGGGGCTGGATTTCCTGCTGCCACTACCCATGTCCCAGGGCAACCATAAACCTTCTGGCTGGGAAAAGCCTCCAGGCTGACTTCTGTTTCTGGCTGACCTTCCATGCTGAAAGTGTCACCAGCCTGAGGACCACCGTCCTCACCATGGCCCAACAAATACCAGTGTCAAGGATTTGCTTTCCTTATCGCTGCCCCTTTCCTCCAGTTTCTTCATTCCCCTGCTCGGCTGCACAGCAATGTGTATATTTTAGCAAATGAGGTGTTGGCACTCATTTTGCAGGCCCTCATCTAAGAAATCCTGCCATCGGTGACCCCCACTGCGACTGCCACTGCCTGCAGGTCGTGGTCCTCACGGCTCCCCCCTCCCCCATAGATGCCCCCACCACCCTACACGGCCGCTCGGAGCTTTGCAATCTTCTACTTGTGGCAGTGGTTTTCAGTTCACCAAGGGTTTTCCCTATCACCTGCAGACTTTCTCCTTCAGACTATAAAAAGGGATTTGAACCAGCACTAAAACCATCTGGGCTTTATCTTCCCTCCTGAGCGGAGTGCCTCTGTTCAAGGCCGCCGGTGGGAAGCCTCGGGTCTCTCTGCTCTGCTTATCTCCCTGCCTTGCTGAGACGTGTCCTTTCACACGGCAAGATTAGGAGGGGGAAGGACTGTGGGGAGAAGCAATATCTTTATTAGACCAGCTAGGGTAATTGAAAAAAGGTGACCGTGCTCCTGGCTCTGCCTTCTTCTGCTGGGACTCCAAAACCCTGGCTGTTTCTTGCAGCCCCATTGGCCACTTTAGCAGAGGTTGTTCCTCCCCTGCAGCCGCTTCCCGGGGTGCCCTTCAGAAGCTGCTTTGGAGAATCACCCCAATTCCTCAAAAAACACCAATAAATTCCCCTGTGGGTTTTTGCTTCCCATTGGGTCTCCCTTGGGATGGTTGCGTGTCGCTGCATAGGCTCCAGCACTTCCCCTTCTGAGCGGCCCCATGATATTTTCCCTGTTGTCCCTGCCGTCGAGGAGCCCAGAGCCCATGCCTCAGTTTTCCCAGCTAGGTCTTGCTGGGAAAGATGGAAAAATGAATTCCCATGCTGAGCTTGACTGACAGCAGGGAAAAAGGAGAAGAAAATGGTCTGAAAGGAGGCGAGAGGCCGTCAGGCACCGTTTAGGATGTGAGCTGCCCTTGGCCTCCGCTTCCTGCTGCTCCCATGACTGGTGACTTGGCGGCGCGGTTACGCAGCGGCGGGTGCTCGAGGGCTAGGCGAGGTGAGCGGGGGAGCTCTGAATCACCGCCAGCGCTGGCGCGGCGGGGGCCGCTCCTGGAAATCTGGGGGTGCTAGCGGAGTAACTGAGGGGCTGCTGGACCCCCAGCAGTGCGTGTCCCCAGCTGGCACATGGAGGAGAAGGGGTGCGAGTTTCCATCATGACCAGTAGCGAATGGTCCCCTGAGACCCCAAATGGACCCAGAAGCTGTGCCGTGGGGTTCACGGCGAACAAGTTGTGACTGCCACAGAATGCCACGCGTGGGTCTGGTGCACCCT